AGAAAAGAAAAGAAAAGAAAAGAAAAGAAAAGAAAAGAAAAGAAAAGAAAAGAAAAGAAAAGAAAAGAAAAGAAAAGAAAAGAAAAGAAAAGAAAAGAAAAGAAAATGTCTCATTCTCCTAATCCTGAAATATGTAGAGGGAAACAGACATCAAAATGTTGAGTATTAGTAGTCCTGTTGACAGCAGCCTGCTCTCTCTCTCTCTCTCTCTAACATAATCCTGTTAGTTTCTGAGAACAGAACTAGATATCCTGCAGAGAGCCTCAAAGGCAGTATGATCTTCCTTGGAAAGTTGCTGTTTTAGTTTTGCATGCCAGCTCTATGTAATGAACTTACATTGTTTTTGTTGGCAATAATCCCTGGCTGAGCAACGTCTTTTGAATTCAACCCTGGAAACCACAGCTAATTTCTTAATTCTCATCTGTGGTTTATGATTAACACGGATATTTGTTCTCTCACAGTAGGCTATTGGATGTATTTCTGAAGCAGATGCTGTGTGAGTGATGCTGCGTGGTGAAGAACTGGACTTTCTTGTTTAGAGTCATTTTCTTTTCTTCCTTTTCCTGGTCAAACTGAAAGACACAATTTTTCTGCACAGCATTATGCAGTACCATGTTACAGCTACGTTATATCCTTTGATATAGCTATGATCAAGTGTTCTGTTTTTTAAAGCCTCAAAATCCCACAGAAACAAAAATCTTCAGTATTCATATTTCTCCAATTTTAAATTTCTGATCACTAGAATGACAGTAAAAATTATCTTGACACAAAAACATCAGTTTTGCAAATCCAGGAGGCAAATAAAATACATATCATGCCTTTGTTTGTTACCTTTTTGTTCCTATCTCGATTTTTTTTTTCAAGCCAAGACTGTGATTTTTCTTAGCCTGATGGTGCTGCATTTCGGATAGCTGGGTATGGAAAAATGGAAGTCAAAAGAGTTCAGGACTCCTGGGAACTGTTTCTCTGACGTAGATCTTCTGGGTTTTTGTTGTGATTTTACAGTCAGGAGCCAGAAACATGCTTTTGCATAAGGCCCACTGTGTTTCCGTCTTCCAAGCATTTCAGAAATGGTAGCATAGTTTGACGTAATCAGACCTGAGAACTCATAAATAGCTTTTGTAAGCACTAGAAAATATGTTTCATATCACAAAAGATTCTGGGCAAGTTAATGAGGGGTATATTTTGCTCTTCCTTCAATAGGGACAGAGGACTCTAGTTGGCAAGGGAACTGAAGCTCAAACATTGTTAGTAGATGAGTAGGACCTGCAAATGCCGTGGGAGAAGATTAGTGATTGCTTAGAAAACATCTGATTGTGTCAGGAGTTCCTACAACAAACAAAGCTTGAAGCAGAAATCTGCTACTCTACCTCACATGAAAGAACAACAGCACCATTTACTTGGTTCATTTCAAGGACTGTTTGCCTTGGTCTCACTTCCTTGTCAAAGGAAAACCAAAACACACAGGCTTAGCAAAATCTAAAAATCTAAGACTTGTATTGTCACAGATGTGCTAGAACTTGAAAACTTGAGAAGACTTCAAATAGGTAATGGTCCCATTTCATCAGTTCTGTGACACAAACTATATAACATCGGGTATTCTTGATGGAAAGCTAGAGTGACCGTCCCGATAACAGTGAAACAGATTCTTCTGTCAATTATATCATTGATTTCCTCATTCTTTCCTTAAAAAAAAAAAAATTTATATACGTATATATACATTGTATATATATAAATAGGTGAATATATTGGAGAATTAGTGTCCTAACTTGTGTGACTAGGAAAACAGGACCCATTTAGTTTTAAGGAAGCAAAAGAAAGAAACAGAATGAAAATCACCCAGGGAGATGTAGGAGAAAAGGAAGACACAGAATAATACTGTTTACAGTGGAGGCAGAGGAGATGGCAGATTAAAGGCCAGCTAATGTGAATACATGTAATACATGTATTAGGCAGATAGTGCAGAACTTCAGTTTCACAGCTCTGGCTGTACCAGCAGTGGCAGCATCCCCCAGAGACACAGGTATTAACTCTCTCTGAGCTGCAGAGTAAGAGGGAACCCTTCCACACTGCGAAGAACCACAAGTGCTCTGAGTGTTTAGCAGCATTCCTCTAAGTACTTTGAGGCTGAAAACAAACATGATCCAGGAAAAGGTGTTAAAAATACTAGATAACGTAAATGTTTGAGTCTTTGGTGAGTCTCTAGGCATGGAAAAGTGGGGGATTTCTATCACTAATAGTCACTGAAGTGAAGGGAGATGGGTATAGTCTCATCAGGATGAAGATGGAGCTCAGGGCAGGTGACCAGCAATATCACCTGTTTATCATTAGGAGGAAAACTTGGACAAACAGCTAAGAATGAGTGGGTAGGTTATTTGGTATTTTCCACCTAGCTCAAAGAGGTGAACTGGCAGAGATGCACATCTGGTCCGGCCTGTCTAGAGTGTTGAAGAACAAAAGGCTGGTGCATTTGTAGTAATTTGGTATCCAATAAAAATCCAAGTTATTACCTCAATAACTACTGCTACAATATTCCAAAATATGGAAAATATTTGTAGAGTGAAGTTGTGTCTCCTGATTAGAGTTAGGCTTTTGGGCTCAAGGCAACACAGGACTGTATCTTAGTCATTCATAACCCATGCTCAAGGTTGTTAAAGTGCCGTGCTAATCAAATATCAAACAGTGTTTGGGCGTGATGCCCATGAATTCCTTAAGTCTTTCCTTTAGATGCGCTGGACTTTGAATCACATTCCGACTGTGTTCTACTATAGAAACACAAGCATACTTCAACTGAAAACTTTGGAATTTACGATACTAGAAGTCAGGTGTGAGAATTTCATTACATTGGCTGTGATCCCGCCTGCGTGAAGGATTAACTGTGGCTGAGACGTAACAATGAAGCCTCACCCTCTTTGAATTACTGACGCCTTCAATCCAAAATGTCAGTTTCACAAATGGGGAGAGTACTGTAAGGAGGTGAAAACTCATCATGGAGATTTGGAATTACCTCTGGCATTTCATTTTCTCTCTTTTTCTGTGTAAGTTAAAATCTATTTCACTATTTGCATTTGCAATATATTTTAGAGGATGTCCTGGAGATAGATTTGAAACAATAATTTGGGAGAGAGTTGGCTAAAAATCAATATAAAATAAATATACACTGTTTATAGTTAAAATGTATTTATCTTAAATGTATATTTCTGTAGGCATTTTAGTAGCATATAAAACTGCAAATGAATAAATGAGTGAGAGAAAAATATGTGGATCTAAAAATGGAATGTGTGGTGTATGAGCAGATTTTGTGATGTTTCTTGGCCTTGAATCTTAAATTCTACAGTTATGAGATCAATGAATGATCTATTTTGCTAATTATTCTCTCCTGAGAGACTCTGTAGAAAGAGAAAGATAAGAAAATATGGGCTGGGTTATAATACGCTGTTTTCCCAATGTACTGCAAGAGAAGCTTGAAATAATATCTAGAAATTCAAAGGGTTCTCTTATTTATTCTTACTGTCTAGTTCTGTGACAATCAGTGCAGATGACAGTACATTTCTTCCATTTTTTTCCCCTATTTTCTCTTAAGAGTCCAAAGGATACATATAGAGAATCATACAATTTGAGCTGTGTTGGGATGCAGAAAAATTACTGATCTGCAGGAGGAATTTTGCAGAATTTGTAAACATTATATGCTGTTATGCCTATGCCAAATTATATGATTAATGCAACCTTGATTTTAGAGATACATAGAGCCAAAACAACTTAAATTTTTAGTAGAGCTATTCCAGTACACCTGTGTGAGGATACTCGAAGCTTTACACAGCTGAAAATAAAGAGCTAGGAAAACAACAAAGTGTTGTTAGGGAACAGTATTAAAACAAGACAGCAGATCATGTGTTTCTAGGAGGAACACAAACAACACTTGAAATCAAAATAAAATTAGAGGGGCACGTAAATGAAAGGGATTTGAATTAGTGTGTATACAATCAGAACTGAAACAGGACTTGTTTTTTCTTTTAAGGGGTATATATATAAAAATATTATATTTTTCAGATTGCAAACAGTAGTAGTCATTATTGTTTCATAATTAGAGACAAAAGAAAACACAGGAAATAAATGAATTTTCTTTCAAGATAATCAATGATTTAGGTTTTTAAAAAACACTCATCTCCCCTGCCTGAAACGAAGTGTGCAATGAAGATGTACATATCTCACAAAGCAGGGAATTTTAAATAATGACTACAAAGGACTAAAGAAGAGAAAATTTTGCAAATATAATTGCAGTCTTTGGAAAACAGCTATAAAAACACTATAAAATTGCAGTATAAAAACATATGCAAAAATTGTAGTTAGAGAGATTAAAGAAATTGAAACAAAAAAACAACATAAACAGGAAGCAGATCAATATAAAGTGTCAGTATAAATGTTAAAAAAAAAAAAAAAAAATGTAGAAGGCTAAAAGGACAACAAAACTAGATACATACAAAGGGAAATAAAAGAGAAATCCAGGTCACTGGAGAGGAATTAATAGAGTTTAAAAAAAAAAAAAAAGAAAATGAAGCAGAAAAATAGAACAAAACTAAAGAAAAAAATATCCTAAAACATGAGTGTCCAAACTTTTGGTTTGACAGCACTGCATTGAGTGAAGAGGAGCTGGGCTGCATATAAAATATATAAAATAGTTGATGTATCTAAGTATCTAAATTGATGTATCTTTTATTTTTAACATAAAAAAGTATTAAAACATGGGGGTGGGGGGGGGGGGGGGGGGGAACAACAAAAAAAAAGGAAGCAACCAGAATTGGAAACTTGTGGGGTATTTGACATTTGTTTGTGAAAGTAGAGCATGAGATGGGTTTGATAGAAGCGGTTGTGATTCTAGGCGAATTCCTCAGGTGCTTCTCAGAGATTTTTGATGAAATTTTACACGTAAGATACTTAATGCATGAAAATAATTGTTAACAAATGTAAGTACAGTGAAAAATATATTATTTGAATAAGGCATGATTGTGAAGAAAGGTAAGCTAGGTAAGCTGGTAAGCTAGGGCTTACAGAAGTCCAGTATGAAAGCATGAGAAAACTTTTGAGTTGAATATCCAATTGATATTCTGTGCATTCAAATCGAAAATTCAAGGCTGATGTATACTGAATGTTGATTGAAAATGGAATCACTGATGTACCATAAAATGGAAGACATTTTTGAAAATATTGAAATATATTCTCAAAATTCTTTATCAAAATGGACAGAAAAACGTAATAATTTTCAATGTTCACAGGAAAGCTTTTAGCCAAAATGCCAAAATAAAAAAATTATTTGCCAAAAGTTGAGTTAGAATGGCATTATGACAGGATCTTTTATGGATTTCAGCTCAGAGAGTGTTGAAAAAAAAAACAGTTGTTGATTGCTGCTAAGTGATAAGCAAGTGCGAGAGTCTGAGAGACACAGTGTCAAAGAGCCATTGACATAGTGCCATGAGACATGAGATGGCTCAACAGTGGGCTGTGTTAGAACTCACGAAGCCTGCAAGAATTTGGTGGGACACATGAACCACAAAAGAAAAATAAAAAAGGGAGCTTACTCAGAATATTTAAGAAGTAAAACAAAGTACAGAAAAAAAATAGAAAAAAATTGTAATCTAAGAAGAAAAACAAAGAGAATAAAGTGATTTATAGAAATATAAAACGAACAACGTAGAAATGATATAAAAGAAATGAAAAAAAAAAATAATAAAACCAGGAAACTATTTTTCTAATTTTAAAATTCTTGTCAGCAGTATCAGTAGCTAAAACAGAAAATGTAACAGAACACAGAACGAAAAGAGCAAACAAAGCGAGTGACGATGACCGAGGGTCAACAATGACATCCAGTTTCCTCTTGACAACATCTTCGACGGCTGCGTCCCTGGCCACGACGGACGGCGGAGGAGCGCAGACGGAGCACAACCCCACGATGCTGTCTGGGACCGGGAGCTCACCGGGGCTATCTGGCGGTAGCCAGGCCGCCAGTGCCGCTTCCACAACACTGGAGCCTGGCACCAGCTCCACAGGCATTGCCACGGCGAGTGGCACTGTTGGCTCTGGGTCTCCAGTGCCCAGCTCGGCAGCTGCCAGTGACTCTTCTTCGCCGGCGGGCTCCCCACCTCTGCCATCCAGCAGCACGCCAAGCAGCAGCCGTGAAAACACTGAAGCTGGGCACACCAGGACATCGCAGCCTTCTACAGCGGAAACATCCCCACGTCCAGCGTCCACCGCTGCTATTGCTGGGGCTGGAACTGTGCAGCCCACAACAGCGCAGGGGCAGGCCACGGCTCAGATTGCATCCACATCACAGTTCACAGGCAGCCCGTTGCCTACCCCAGCTCCGACGTCAGCTCTGAGCAAAGCCACCACTCGTGCTAGCACAGGTGCAATTCCAACGGCAGCCCACCTGAGCGGCACGACGGCTGACCTGCAGGACCAGACATCCAGTTTCCTCTTGACAACATCTTCGACGGCTGCGTCCCTGGCCACGACGGACGGCAGAGGAGCGCAGACGGAGCACAACCCCACGATGCTGTCTGGGACCGGGAGCTCACCGGGGCTATCTGGCGGTAGCCAGGCCGCCAGTGCCGCTTCCACAACACTGGAGCCTGGCACCAGCTCCACAGGCATTGCCACGGCGAGTGGCACTGTTGGCTCTGGGTCTCCAGTGCCCAGCTCGGCAGCTGCCAGTGACTCTTCTTCGCCGGCGGGCTCCCCACCTCTGCCATCCAGCAGCACGCCAAGCAGCAGCCGTGAAAACACTGAAGCTGGGCACACCAGGACATCGCAGCCTTCTACAGCGGAAACATCCCCACGTCCAGCGTCCACCGCTGCTATTGCTGGGGCTGGAACTGTGCAGCCCACAACAGCGCAGGGGCAGGCCACGGCTCAGATTGCATCCACATCACAGTTCACAGGCAGCCCGTTGCCTACCCCAGCTCCGACGTCAGCTCTGAGCAAAGCCACCACTCGTGCTAGCACAGGTGCAATTCCAACGGCAGCCCACCTGAGCGGCACGACGGCTGACCTGCAGGACCAGACATCCAGTTTCCTCTTGACAACATCTTCGACGGCTGCGTCCCTGGCCACGACGGACGGCAGAGGAGCGCAGACGGAGCACAACCCCACGATGCTGTCTGGGACCGGGAGCTCACCGGGGCTATCTGGCGGTAGCCAGGCCGCCAGTGCCGCTTCCACAACACTGGAGCCTGGCACCAGCTCCACAGGCATTGCCACGGCGAGTGGCACTGTTGGCTCTGGGTCTCCAGTGCCCAGCTCGGCAGCTGCCAGTGACTCTTCTTCGCTGGCGGGCTCCCCACCTCTGCCATCCAGCAGCACGCCAAGCAGCAGCCGTGAAAACACTGAAGCTGGGCACACCAGGACATCGCAGCCTTCTACAGCGGAAACATCCCCACGTCCAGCGTCCACCGCTGCTATTGCTGGGGCTGGAACTGTGCAGCCCACAACAGCGCAGGGGCAGGCCACGGCTCAGATTGCATCCACATCACAGTTCACAGGCAGCCCGTTGCCTACCCCAGCTCCGACGTCAGCTCTGAGCAAAGCCACCACTCGTGCTAGCACAGGTGCAATTCCAACGGCAGCCCACCTGAGCGGCACGACGGCTGACCTGCAGGACCAGACATCCAGTTTCCTCTTGACAACATCTTCGACGGCTGCGTCCCTGGCCACGACGGACGGCAGAGGAGCGCAGACGGAGCACAACCCCACGATGCTGTCTGGGACCGGGAGCTCACCGGGGCTATCTGGCGGTAGCCAGGCCGCCAGTGCCGCTTCCACAACACTGGAGCCTGGCACCAGCTCCACAGGCATTGCCACGGCGAGTGGCACTGTTGGCTCTGGGTCTCCAGTGCCCAGCTCGGCAGCTGCCAGTGACTCTTCTTCGCTGGCGGGCTCCCCACCTCTGCCATCCAGCAGCACGCCAAGCAGCAGCCGTGAAAACACTGAAGCTGGGCACACCAGGACATCGCAGCCTTCTACAGCGGAAACATCCCCACGTCCAGCGTCCACCGCTGCTATTGCTGGGGCTGGAACTGTGCAGCCCACAACAGCGCAGGGGCAGGCCACGGCTCAGATTGCATCCACATCACAGTTCACAGGCAGCCCGTTGCCTACCCCAGCTCCGACGTCAGCTCTGAGCAAAGCCACCACTCGTGCTAGCACAGGTGCAATTCCAACGGCAGCCCACCTGAGCGGCACGACGGCTGACCTGCAGGACCAGACATCCAGTTTCCTCTTGACAACATCTTCGACGGCTGCGTCCCTGGCCACGACGGACGGCAGAGGAGCGCAGACGGAGCACAACCCCACGATGCTGTCTGGGACCGGGAGCTCACCGGGGCTATCTGGCGGTAGCCAGGCCGCCAGTGCCGCTTCCACAACACTGGAGCCTGGCACCAGCTCCACAGGCATTGCCACGGCGAGTGGCACTGTTGGCTCTGGGTCTCCAGTGCCCAGCTCGGCAGCTGCCAGTGACTCTTCTTCGCCGGCGGGCTCCCCACCTCTGCCATCCAGCAGCACGCCAAGCAGCAGCCGTGAAAACACTGAAGCTGGGCACACCAGGACATCGCAGCCTTCTACAGCGGAAACATCCCCACGTCCAGCGTCCACCGCTGCTATTGCTGGGGCTGGAACTGTGCAGCCCACAACAGCGCAGGGGCAGGCCACGGCTCAGATTGCATCCACATCACAGTTCACAGGCAGCCCGTTGCCTACCCCAGCTCCGACGTCAGCTCTGAGCAAAGCCACCACTCGTGCTAGCACAGGTGCAATTCCAACGGCAGCCCACCTGAGCGGCACGACGGCTGACCTGCAGGACCAGACATCCAGTTTCCTCTTGACAACATCTTCGACGGCTGCGTCCCTGGCCACGACGGACGGCAGAGGAGCGCAGACGGAGCACAACCCCACGATGCTGTCTGGGACCGGGAGCTCACCGGGGCTATCTGGCGGTAGCCAGGCCGCCAGTGCCGCTTCCACAACACTGGAGCCTGGCACCAGCTCCACAGGCATTGCCACGGCGAGTGGCACTGTTGGCTCTGGGTCTCCAGTGCCCAGCTCGGCAGCTGCCAGTGACTCTTCTTCGCTGGCGGGCTCCCCACCTCTGCCATCCAGCAGCACGCCAAGCAGCAGCCGTGAAAACACTGAAGCTGGGCACACCAGGACATCGCAGCCTTCTACAGCGGAAACATCCCCACGTCCAGCGTCCACCGCTGCTATTGCTGGGGCTGGAACTGTGCAGCCCACAACAGCGCAGGGGCAGGCCACGGCTCAGATTGCATCCACATCACAGTTCACAGGCAGCCCGTTGCCTACCCCAGCTCCGACGTCAGCTCTGAGCAAAGCCACCACTCGTGCTAGCACAGGTGCAATTCCAACGGCAGCCCACCTGAGCGGCACGACGGCTGACCTGCAGGACCAGACATCCAGTTTCCTCTTGACAACATCTTCGACGGCTGCGTCCCTGGCCACGACGGACGGCAGAGGAGCGCAGACGGAGCACAACCCCACGATGCTGTCTGGGACCGGGAGCTCACCGGGGCTATCTGGCGGTAGCCAGGCCGCCAGTGCCGCTTCCACAACACTGGAGCCTGGCACCAGCTCCACAGGCATTGCCACGGCGAGTGGCACTGTTGGCTCTGGGTCTCCAGTGCCCAGCTCGGCAGCTGCCAGTGACTCTTCTTCGCTGGCGGGCTCCCCACCTCTGCCATCCAGCAGCACGCCAAGCAGCAGCCGTGAAAACACTGAAGCTGGGCACACCAGGACATCGCAGCCTTCTACAGCGGAAACATCCCCACGTCCAGCGTCCACCGCTGCTATTGCTGGGGCTGGAACTGTGCAGCCCACAACAGCGCAGGGGCAGGCCACGGCTCAGATTGCATCCACATCACAGTTCACAGGCAGCCCGTTGCCTACCCCAGCTCCGACGTCAGCTCTGAGCAAAGCCACCACTCGTGCTAGCACAGGTGCAATTCCAACGGCAGCCCACCTGAGCGGCACGACGGCTGACCTGCAGGACCAGACATCCAGTTTCCTCTTGACAACATCTTCGACGGCTGCGTCCCTGGCCACGACGGACGGCAGAGGAGCGCAGACGGAGCACAACCCCACGATGCTGTCTGGGACCGGGAGCTCACCGGGGCTATCTGGCGGTAGCCAGGCCGCCAGTGCCGCTTCCACAACACTGGAGCCTGGCACCAGCTCCACAGGCATTGCCACGGCGAGTGGCACTGTTGGCTCTGGGTCTCCAGTGCCCAGCTCGGCAGCTGCCAGTGACTCTTCTTCGCTGGCGGGCTCCCCACCTCTGCCATCCAGCAGCACGCCAAGCAGCAGCCGTGAAAACACTGAAGCTGGGCACACCAGGACATCGCAGCCTTCTACAGCGGAAACATCCCCACGTCCAGCGTCCACCGCTGCTATTGCTGGGGCTGGAACTGTGCAGCCCACAACAGCGCAGGGGCAGGCCACGGCTCAGATTGCATCCACATCACAGTTCACAGGCAGCCCGTTGCCTACCCCAGCTCCGACGTCAGCTCTGAGCAAAGCCACCACTCGTGCTAGCACAGGTGCAATTCCAACGGCAGCCCACCTGAGCGGCACGACGGCTGACCTGCAGGACCAGACATCCAGTTTCCTCTTGACAACATCTTCGACGGCTGCGTCCCTGGCCACGACGGACGGCAGAGGAGCGCAGACGGAGCACAACCCCACGATGCTGTCTGGGACCGGGAGCTCACCGGGGCTATCTGGCGGTAGCCAGGCCGCCAGTGCCGCTTCCACAACACTGGAGCCTGGCACCAGCTCCACAGGCATTGCCACGGCGAGTGGCACTGTTGGCTCTGGGTCTCCAGTGCCCAGCTCGGCAGCTGCCAGTGACTCTTCTTCGCTGGCGGGCTCCCCACCTCTGCCATCCAGCAGCACGCCAAGCAGCAGCCGTGAAAACACTGAAGCTGGGCACACCAGGACATCGCAGCCTTCTACAGCGGAAACATCCCCACGTCCAGCGTCCACCGCTGCTATTGCTGGGGCTGGAACTGTGCAGCCCACAACAGCGCAGGGGCAGGCCACGGCTCAGATTGCATCCACATCACAGTTCACAGGCAGCCCGTTGCCTACCCCAGCTCCGACGTCAGCTCTGAGCAAAGCCACCACTCGTGCTAGCACAGGTGCAATTCCAACGGCAGCCCACCTGAGCGGCACGACGGCTGACCTGCAGGACCAGACATCCAGTTTCCTCTTGACAACATCTTCGACGGCTGCGTCCCTGGCCACGACGGACGGCAGAGGAGCGCAGACGGAGCACAACCCCACGATGCTGTCTGGGACCGGGAACTCACCGGGGGTATCTGGCGGTAGCCAGGCCGCCAGTGCCGCTTCCACAACACTGGAGCCTGGCACCAGCTCCACAGGCATTGCCACGGCGAGTGGCACTGTTGGCTCTGGGTCTCCAGTGCCCAGCTCGGCAGCTGCCAGTGACTCTTCTTCGCTGGCGGGCTCCCCACCTCTGCCATCCAGCAGCACGCCAAGCAGCAGCCGTGAAAACACTGAAGCTGGGCACACCAGGACATCGCAGCCTTCTACAGCGGAAACATCCCCACGTCCAGCGTCCACCGCTGCTATTGCTGGGGCTGGAACTGTGCAGCCCACAACAGCGCAGGGGCAGGCCACGGCTCAGATTGCATCCACATCACAGTTCACAGGCAGCCCGTTGCCTACCCCAGCTCCGACGTCAGCTCTGAGCAAAGCCACCACTCGTGCTAGCACAGGTGCAATTCCAACGGCAGCCCACCTGAGCGGCACGACGGCTGACCTGCAGGACCAGACATCCAGTTTCCTCTTGACAACATCTTCGACGGCTGCGTCCCTGGCCACGACGGACGGCAGAGGAGCGCAGACGGAGCACAACCCCACGATGCTGTCTGGGACCGGGAGCTCACCGGGGCTATCTGGCGGTAGCCAGGCCGCCAGTGCCGCTTCCACAACACTGGAGCCTGGCACCAGCTCCACAGGCATTGCCACGGCGAGTGGCACTGTTGGCTCTGGGTCTCCAGTGCCCAGCTCGGCAGCTGCCAGTGACTCTTCTTCGCTGGCGGGCTCCCCACCTCTGCCATCCAGCAGCACGCCAAGCAGCAGCCGTGAAAACACTGAAGCTGGGCACACCAGGACATCGCAGCCTTCTACAGCGGAAACATCCCCACGTCCAGCGTCCACCGCTGCTATTGCTGGGGCTGGAACTGTGCAGCCCACAACAGCGCAGGGGCAGGCCACGGCTCAGATTGCATCCACATCACAGTTCACAGGCAGCCCGTTGCCTACCCCAGCTCCGACGTCAGCTCTGAGCAAAGCCACCACTCGTGCTAGCACAGGTGCAATTCCAACGGCAGCCCACCTGAGCGGCACGACGGCTGACCTGCAGGACCAGACATCCAGTTTCCTCTTGACAACATCTTCGACGGCTGCGTCCCTGGCCACGACGGACGGCAGAGGAGCGCAGACGGAGCACAACCCCACGATGCTGTCTGGGACCGGGAGCTCACCGGGGCTATCTGGCGGTAGCCAGGCCGCCAGTGCCGCTTCCACAACACTGGAGCCTGGCACCAGCTCCACAGGCATTGCCACGGCGAGTGGCACTGTTGGCTCTGGGTCTCCAGTGCCCAGCTCGGCAGCTGCCAGTGACTCTTCTTCGCTGGCGGGCTCCCCACCTCTGCCATCCAGCAGCACGCCAAGCAGCAGCCGTGAAAACACTGAAGCTGGGCACACCAGGACATCGCAGCCTTCTACAGCGGAAACATCCCCACGTCCAGCGTCCACCGCTGCTATTGCTGGGGCTGGAACTGTGCAGCCCACAACAGCGCAGGGGCAGGCCACGGCTCAGATTGCATCCACATCACAGTTCACAGGCAGCCCGTTGCCTACCCCAGCTCCGACGTCAGCTCTGAGCAAAGCCACCACTCGTGCTAGCACAGGTGCAATTCCAACGGCAGCCCACCTGAGCGGCACGACGGCTGACCTGCAGGACCAGACATCCAGTTTCCTCTTGACAACATCTTCGACGGCTGCGTCCCTGGCCACGACGGACGGCAGAGGAGCGCAGACGGAGCACAACCCCACGATGCTGTCTGGGACCGGGAGCTCACCGGGGCTATCTGGCGGTAGCCAGGCCGCCAGTGCCGCTTCCACAACACTGGAGCCTGGCACCAGCTCCACAGGCATTGCCACGGCGAGTGGCACTGTTGGCTCTGGGTCTCCAGTGCCCAGCTCGGCAGCTGCCAGTGACTCTTCTTCGCTGGCGGGCTCCCCACCTCTGCCATCCAGCAGCACGCCAAGCAGCAGCCGTGAAAACACTGAAGCTGGGCACACCAGGACATCGCAGCCTTCTACAGCGGAAACATCCCCACGTCCAGCGTCCACCGCTGCTATTGCTGGGGCTGGAACTGTGCAGCCCACAACAGCGCAGGGGCAGGCCACGGCTCAGATTGCATCCACATCACAGTTCACAGGCAGCCCGTTGCCTACCCCAGCTCCGACGTCAGCTCTGAGCAAAGCCACCACTCGTGCTAGCACAGGTGCAATTCCAACGGCAGCCCACCTGAGCGGCACGACGGCTGACCTGCAGGACCAGACATCCAGTTTCCTCTTGACAACATCTTCGACGGCTGCGTCCCTGGCCACGACGGACGGCAGAGGAGCGCAGACGGAGCACAACCCCACGATGCTGTCTGGGACCGGGAACTCACCGGGGGTATCTGGCGGTAGCCAGGCCGCCAGTGCCGCTTCCACAACACTGGAGCCTGGCACCAGCTCCACAGGCATTGCCACGGCGAGTGGCACTGTTGGCTCTGGGTCTCCAGTGCCCAGCTCGGCAGCTGCCAGTGACTCTTCTTCGCTGGCGGGCTCCCCACCTCTGCCATCCAGCAGCACGCCAAGCAGCAGCCGTGAAAACACTGAAGCTGGGCACACCAGGACATCGCAGCCTTCTACAGCGGAAACATCCCCACGTCCAGCGTCCACCGCTGCTATTGCTGGGGCTGGAACTGTGCAGCCCACAACAGCGCAGGGGCAGGCCACGGCTCAGATTGCATCCACATCACAGTTCACAGGCAGCCCGTTGCCTACCCCAGCTCCGACGTCAGCTCTGAGCAAAGCCACCACTCGTGCTAGCACAGGTGCAATTCCAACGGCAGCCCACCTGAGCGGCACGACGGCTGACCTGCAGGACCAGACATCCAGTTTCCTCTTGACAACATCTTCGACGGCTGCGTCCCTGGCCACGACGGACGGCAGAGGAGCGCAGACGGAGCACAACCCCACGATGCTGTCTGGGACCGGGAGCTCACCGGGGCTATCTGGCGGTAGCCAGGCCGCCAGTGCCGCTTCCACAACACTGGAGCCTGGCACCAGCTCCACAGGCATTGCCACGGCGAGTGGCACTGTTGGCTCTGGGTCTCCAGTGCCCAGCTCGGCAGCTGCCAGTGACTCTTCTTCGCTGGCGGGCTCCCCACCTCTGCCATCCAGCAGCACGCCAAGCAGCAGCCGTGAAAACACTGAAGCTGGGCACACCAGGACATCGCAGCCTTCTACAGCGGAAACATCCCCACGTCCAGCGTCCACCGCTGCTATTGCTGGGGCTGGAACTGTGCAGCCCACAACAGCGCAGGGGCAGGCCACGGCTCAGATTGCATCCACATCACAGTTCACAGGCAGCCCGTTGCCTACCCCAGCTCCGACGTCAGCTCTGAGCAAAGCCACCACTCGTGCTAGCACAGGTGCAATTCCAACGGCAGCCCACCTGAGTGGCACGACGGCTGACCTGCAGGACCAGACATCCAGTTTCCTCTTGACAACATCTTCGACGGCTGCGTCCCTGGCCACGACGGACGGCAGAGGAGCGCAGACGGAGCACAACCCCACGATGCTGTCTGGGACCGGGAGCTCACCGGGGCTATCTGGCGGTAGCCAGGCAGCCAGTGCCGCTTCCACAACACTGGAGCCTGGCACCAGCTCCACAGGCATTGCCACGGCGAGTGGCACTGTTGGCTCTATTTCCCCAACGCATATCTCATCGTTATCTTTCTCTACCACGTCTTTGCATCCCTCTTCTCTCTCAAATTTTTTTCCGTCCACTTCAATCAAATCAGCTTCACCTGAATTTTGCTGTGAGTGATATTTTTCTTTTTGTATTTTTTAATTGTTTTTAATTGTTTTTTTTTTTAATGTATGTAGTTGTCCTTTTTTTTTCTTTCTTTTTTTTTTCTTTTTTTTTTTCATTTCAGTGTATATCTTGTTTGATTCTCATTTTGTTTCCATATTTCAATCAGAATTTAATTTTTTTATTTGTCTTTATCTTTTTTATTTTTTTTATTTTCTTTTAGTATGAGTTTTTTCATAGTGGTTTTCTGTCATTTTTTATATTTGTCTTTCTTATATCCCATTTTATTTCTTGAAAGTCAGGCTTTATGTATCTCTTGACAGCCTGGTCTATTTATTTGTGACTGTGCACCTTACAGGGTGATACTTACTAGATGATCATTATGGTTCTTTTCAACACAGGGAAGTCTGCGTTTGTTTTTTTTTTTTAATCGGTATCTGAAATTATTGCTAATATTTACTTTTTTTTTTCTTTAGTATGATTTTTTAATTTGGAGTAATGTACAGAAATATTTTTTTGCTTTTATTGTTTATATTTTGTTCTTCTTTTTGTTTTTTTTTTCTATTTTCCCATTTTTTAAATATTTTTACCCCTTTTTTCTCTCTGTGATTCATGTATGTTGCTTATGTTGCTTTAATTTATGTTCTTCATTTTTTCAGGTAAATATAAAGAATGAAATAAAATATTACTGCTCTTTTTTTCTTTCACAAATTTATAATAAATTATGCTTCTGTTTTTATGATTTTCATTTTTTGAGGGAAGTAACAAGCTTCCTGTTTTAAAACAAATAGTTTCATGCTACCCTTATTTGTTGTTCTATTGCTGTCATAGGATTCAATAGGCGATAGCCATGTGCATTGTTGTGGTACGTGGAATTTCACATGTTTACAAAAACATTGCAGAGACTTTTTTTTTTTTTTAACGCAAGGAGTTTTTCATTATTGTTTTTTTTTTTCAGCACACCTACAACAACAACATGTCTTACAGGGATTTGCTTTTCTTTTTTAGCTCCGGTTACTCTCTCTATACAGCTGGAGAATGTGACCAGTACAACAATACAGTTCAGCTGGAAACCTCAAGGTGGCAGAAGAGACAGTCCTTATCTTGTGCATCTCTGGGACGGATCTAGAGAAATGGAGAATAGAAACTTAAATGAAACTAGTACTGCATTTGATGGTCTGGTCTCTGATCATGAATACCAAATATCTGTGAATGTTTTAACTTGCTCTAAGAACGTCAGCACGTCGATGACCGTTCGGACAGGTATTTCTTTCGAAATCTTTCCATTTTTTCATTAGCACACTAACATACACGTGGCCTGACAGTGAAGGCCATTTCATTGGGCACTGTCCTGGACATGAATAAACTATAAATTGAAACGTACAAGAAAACTGAGGCCAAAACTCCAGACACTAAAAGCTAACCTTCACATTTTTCATGCAACTAAGGTCCAAAGCCTCCCCTTACCAAACTGACAAATTCAAGATTTTCTGAACTACAACCAATGTTCAACATGCCCATCTCTCACAACTCCACACTCCTCAGTTCCCAAACCTGCCCTTCTATTCACATGCAACTTGTGTTCTCTTTTGAGTTCCCAGTTACATGGCAGACAGCAGATTTAAAGCCATAATCTTCCTGTAACCTAAGGAAATCCTGGAGTCTTGCAGCTCCTACTATTCCCTTTGCAAATCCCAGCTTCTTCTCCAGCAAGCAGCTGCCCTATGCTTACAAACGATGGCAGTAAAATCTACCAGTGTAGTTACCTGAACTATTGAAATACCTGGAGTCTTCCTCTGTCTTCCCATTGCATAGCATGATTTGTGATTTTAGGAGTAACTGTGTCTGGTACGTGGAGCAACATATTGGAAGGAGCAGTCAATGCAGTCGAGGTTAAGGGCAAGTCTCTTCATGGTGTTCAAGTTGCCTTGATGTGAGGCACATAGCCCAGTGATATCCTTTCTCGTGTAACACCTTGTCCTCTTCTCTCAATGACACATTCAAATAAAAGGTGAGGGATACACTGGGCAGTGAGTGGCACAAAGTACTTACACGTTATGCTATGGCCATCTGGGGTGCAGGGAGTTCACTTGTCTACATTTACCTCTGGTTTACTCTTGCCCTTAGAGGATTTTAGCTGAAGAGCTATTTTTAAAGAGCAACTTTGCTTTTGCTGGTTATTCTGTCTTTTATATCTCCACAGCTGCTAAAGTCTTCAATGGAATGACTAGGATTACCAATGAAGACTTCGTACCTGAATACCTGAACAAATCAAGTACAGAATTTAAGCAATTTGAAGCTAAGTTCACTGAGGAGGTATTTTGCTTAGGAATTCTAACCCAAGATTCATTTTCTCTTGCACTCTTTTTAATGTCAGTAAGCATGAGGATCCAGGAATGAATAATCTTTAGTGTGGTTATAAAAAGAATATGATGGTTATAAACAAAGCAACACTTATTTAGGCCTTAATTCTCATTTATGTTGTGGTCCTCTGAAGCCATAATTAAAAGTAATTCTAACTAGCTGATATATGTACTCCCCTTCTATAATACATGCCTCAAAATGAATTAGAGCAGCTTATTGCAATAACAATTCTTGGTGTTAAAGGAGAAAAAAGATAATAATTTAAACTTTTTACTTTCAGATTAAAAAACATCTGCCACCAACGATCCTGAAATTAATAGAGGAAGAAAAAATGCGTATTGTAATTAATAGCCTCAGGAATGGCAGTGTGATTGCATTCTTCAGCATTGTGTTGGATGAAGGAGAAAATTTAACAAAGACAGAGATTTCAGATGCTTTTATAGAGGCCCTTAACATGAGTACAGTACTGAAAGCTGATCTTAAAGAGACTGTCATAGAAGGTATGAATTCATCAACTTAGTAGTGTACCTTTCACTGATGGCAGAATTCAGTGAAATGGGATTTAAGTGGCACAAAGCAATTGCAAATAGTATTCTGTTCATTTCTTTTTTTTCAGTGCTCATTTAAAATATTCTCCTTTTTCCATTTTGTTTAACCACACACTGCAGCAAGGAATAGTTGTCAGCCAGGATTAAATGACTGCTCACAAAATGCTACCTGCACTGCTGAAGGAGCAACTTATTCCTGTCAATGCAATGAAGGATTCACAGATAACAGTCCCCGAGTTCCAGGGAGAGTTTGCCAACTAAAGCAGAATCCACCTTCACGTAACTGTTTTATGTCTTTAAATTGTTTTTTGTCTGTCAGCTTTAAAAATTTGCATACAGCCTCCAAATTTCTATTTTACAGAAGAGATAACTACAGTCCCTCCAGAAAGTGCTATGGGTAGATCTACAGGAACCACAGCTAGTTCTGTTTTTGCTACCACATTCACATCAGGATCTTGCAGTGAGTAAATATTTAATATTGAACAATAGATTTTTTTTTTTTTCTGAAATTAGTTATTGAAATTAGTTACAATAGTTTTGTTCATCAGTCATATTGGCTATGAAGTAAAATTTCAAGACACAGCTTCTTAAAGAATAGCCTGAGAGAACCATTGGAAGCTGATATAGAAATATCAGTCAAGGAAGTTTCTACGTCTTGGTAAAACCATCCTGAACACCATGATGTTCGTCATGGACGAAAATGCCTACCTCCAAGGATAAACTACTATGATAGACCATTTTTGTAATGTTGCTGTGAATCACATTTATTTAGTGCCTGCTTACTGCTCTGAACTTCAGGTGTCCTGCCAAATTTTTAGTAACCAATCCTCCTGATGATATCAAATGTCAGAATCAGTCAGATAGCAGCCCAATTCAGTACACTCATTGATCAGAGCAGCTGCCTTGCCTGTGAAGGGAGAGACTAGAAACAAGTGAAATTATACCCATTTATGTTTTTGAGTCACCAAATAATGTACATTTCTTTGGACTGCTCCAAAAGTAACACCTCCATTTTACTATGTTGGCCCACAACATCAGAGGTGGATGTTGGTGATACGGCAGTGGAGGTTGAATTTTCCTGCCAACATTCTGTTCCATTTCCATCTCACATCTGCTATGTGACAGATGGCAGCAGAGGGGCAGTCTGACAACATGACTGTTGGTTTATTTCACGCTATTTGGTTAAATACTAAATGTTTAGACTTGCATAAATGAACAGAATCCCCCTCAACTGCATGAATCGTTTTTACTTTGCAGTGCCAGTATTCATTAAAGTTGAGAATGTGACTGGGGAGGCAATACAACTTAGCTGGAACTCAGAGGATGGCAAGAGAGACAGTTTCTACACAGTCTTCCTCATGGATGGAATCCAAGAAATAAATAAAACCACTACAAATGAGGCAACAATAATATTTAAATATCTGCTTCCTGGTCACGTATACACGATATCTGTGGAAGTATTATCTTGTGCTGAGAATAGCAGGACTTCAGTGAGTGTCCGAACAGGTATTTCCTTGATCATGCTGTCATTTATTTTTAATGGATATACTCTTCGAATGTCTTTTTGCAATGTGATTTCAATTTGATTTCAAATACTACTAATCTTATAAGTTTTCTTTATTTATCTGACTCATCTGCTTAGATGGGACTGCGTGGATTAAACAGGAGTTTGCAAGAGTAATTGCTTATTCTGTAAAATTTCTGATTAACCAGATAATTCTTCTTTCCCTTGAAAGTCTCGATCACTCTTAATTTCTTCAAAATAGAAGCTTGAAGGTGGACAACTAGGATTACACACAATAATCCAGGCAAGGTTGTACCACTGTGCTTACAATATCATTAATATTCTCATCTCTGCTGGAAATGTATTGAGCAATGCATTAGATACACATGCTTTTTTCATAGCTACATAGCAGCCTTGATCCACTTAGGCAATGAGCCACTTTTCAGTGTCTGTAACCCTGGGTTAGAGAAGATTTTTCTGTTATTAATCCTCAAATGCCCAACCTTCAACGAATATTTTCCAGCTTTCAGGAAATGCCATCCTACTGCTCTTACTTTGGTCTTAGCTTTATCAAATTCTTTCTGTACAGTACCTCAGTACTCCCATCTGCTAATGACACTTGCTAACTTTATGACATTAGAAAATTTTGTGAGAAAACTCCTGTATTTTCCAGCAGGATTTATAATGGAAATGCCAATCAAATTCTCAGTGGTTCTCAAGAAACATCACTAGTTATACCCCTTCAGTGCAAGGTTTCATCTTTTGAAGCTACTTGTTTCCATCTTCCCATTAGCCTATTCCTTTACACATATTTTTTTTCCTCTAAAAATATTATTTAGCACTTTATTGGAAAAGATTGGAAAAGATCTTAATCAAGTTGTCAAAGGATTAGATTATGTTAGCCCAATTTACTTTTGATAAAATTATATTGCACTTTATCATGTTTTCCCAGTCCCTGAGAAAATTCTCATTATCACTTTTAATATCCTTTGAAATATCTAATTTTTCTTTATGCAATTCTTACTTTCTACCATCATTTCTTGCCCGCTCTATATAACTCTCTTTGTTGCAACTGTCTTTTCCATTCTCTAGGAGACTGTATGACTACTTTCAAAACCCTTCTAGGACTATTATTCTAGAAGTTAACTGTGGAGTTCCCTTTTATGCACTTCCCCTACTTACCTACCACTTGCCTCCTTTTTGATACACTCAGTTGTCATTATCTGCAGTTCCACATTCTCAGCAGTAATCATCCGTGCACAAAGGCAATTCTCTTGATTTTGTTATTTATTTTGCAGATACTGTTTCCTGTTTCAACAGAACTGATTTTTGCCTATTACAGAATCATGGTTGTCCAGACTTAAAATATATTATATGCTCAAGTAGGTTTTATATAATTTTATTCTTTATTTGTTCATGACTGTAGAGTATCATTTCACAATATAGTATCTTTCATGAGTGTTTTGTCACCTGCTTTCTTATGCCAATTCACATAGCATCTGAAGTTCACATTTCTTTGGTAAAGAAACTGACTTAATGTCAGCCTGAATCTCTATTTTCAGACAGGACTTTTCTGTGTAAAGTGTACTTCTTTTAGCTTAGAGCTCATCCACCTACTCATGAGGATTGAAGCATACTTAGTGTTTTGCAGACTCTAACATGCTGATCTTACTTCTGCTGAGATCAATTGGAAAATGACTCTTGAATGAGGGAGTGGGATATGCCCTGAATAATATAGGAATGATTAACAATGTGAGGATTGTGATGGCAGGCAAATTTGAAGAGGAGACAACTCTGAAGGTTCAGAAGCCAGTAAACACTTGTGTGATAGACGTCTTTCTTACTATTTGATTAGATCCTGTTTCTATCAATTAGTGTTACATACTGATAACATGAGAAAACAAAGTCCGTAAAGTGGTGTCCCAGGACTCACCTACTGTTTTCTTTTTCTTTCTTTTTCAGGCTACCAATCCTTTGCCTGCAGAGCTTTGTTAAAAAACCAGACATTTAACAATTCCCTTTATGACGTTGATAGTGGAGGCTACAAAGCAATGTCTGAAAGTATCAAAACAGAAGTAAGTTGCTGTAATCTTGTTTGTCACCGCAAGTAAGCTGAGAAAATGTTTTGAAATTAGCAATGCTGATCACTTGCATTCTTTGTTAAATCAAGATTTGCAATAGGAGAAAAAGATAATCCCTCCTCAATAAACTAGCATATGAATCACTTGCTCAACAACAACTGTATTGGCCAAAGGAGACAAATCATGCCACCTAGAGAGGAGGGGTACATTGCCTACCTGGTCTTCAAGTGTGCAGTATTTAGTGAAAGATGATTTAAAATTCTTTTTTTACAACACAAGCAACTTTCCTTAATTTTCCTCTACTATACTAAATGTGCCTGTGGAGAAGGGGGGAAAAAAGTAGTTAAACACACTGGGAAATATGGGACCTTTACCAGTGGGTACTGTTAGCCCAGATCATCGTGAATTTTCTTCAGAGTAGTGGCTGGTGGATTGGAGGAGGGAATGAGGAGACTATATCAAGGAGAAACTGAAGAGAGACAGTGGAAGTTTAGAGATGGCGATGACTCTAGTAAAGCTGACATGTAGAAGCAGCAGACTTAGCCATCTTTAAGGGAATGTTAAAGAAAAGGACTAGACAATTTACACAGCACCCGGGAATCCTGATACATGTGAATCCACTAGAAAGGTACCACTGTTGTAAGACTGAAATTGTCTTACAAACACTGTTGTAAGAATGGAAACACAAAAGACTGCTTTTGTGTAACCAACAGAGAAAAATATTTTTAGTGTGATTTTTACTTTTTACCTAAAAATCCCTATGGATTTCATAAGCAGTAATTACTTTGTTCTCACAACACCATCTCAGAAGTGATTGTCTTATTAATTTTGGTGTCTCGAACTCATGGGTAGAGAATTGACTTCAGTCAGTTTAACAGGCTTCTGCTAACCTGACTGAATGGAAGAAAAATCTCTTTGTTGTCTTTTAATAAACTTTCACTTATCCTGGCATATTGCACTTTTCTTATTATTTCTACACTTTTCTTTAAAATTTGATAAAACCAAAGAAAATGTACAATCGTGACTGAACATGTTGTCAGTTTCAATGTTGCCTGCTTTTTTTTTTTTTTTTAAATACAATTAGAATATTGAATTACTTATTTTAAATTCCACAATGATGCTACACTATAATTATAGTTCTGATTTTTTTTAACACTCATCTGCACAGTCCAGGTTTCCTTTCTAAATCTTTCTTCACAGTGGGCAAAAGAAAAACATAATCTTAGTGTAGTTTGTAGGGATGTGTAGTCTGAGATGGGGGTTATTCCAAGGAGAAGAATAGAGGTAGACTATTCTAGTTGGGTAGTAATTTACAATAGGGCAAAATTTCTAACAGCAAGTTCTGCCCTGATACCGTGTGCATGACAATCATGCTCAAGGTTGAGCTGTTTAAAAAAAAATACAACAAGGGCAACTAACAATAATTTTAGAAACCTTATGCATAGTTTTAAGTACATTTTTTTTTTCTTGGCAGTTGGGTTTATAGCTTATGGAGAAGGACAACTAATTCCAATGCAATACTGATTAACTAAACAGTACTGCTTTGAAAGTCAAAGTCTGATTTCACATTTTCAATGCAGACTGCATTCTGCTCCACAATAATCCCTCCATAAGTATTTTACTGGTCTTGACAAAAAATGACTGTCATTATTCTGTTCGTTATTCCAATGAGACAACACTGAAAGGAGGAGAAATTCAGAAAGTAAATATCCTGATGCAATAATTCCTGCTTTATCTCAGTTGACCGACACAATGAGACAAACATAAATTCCTGTTTCTACAGATCGTTTCAGAAATGCGCATCAAATTGAAAGATGATCATTTTGATATTATGGTGCTTGGATTCAGACCCGGGAGTGTGATTGTTGATTTTCTTTCTGTACTGCAAAAACAAGAGCCTGTTGATGTGGATATTGTGCAGGAATACCTAAGCCAAATATTAAAGAGCAAGTTTGGTGATCAAACTGAAGTAACAGTACAATGTAAGTGATGCTAAAAACATCTTTTCTGTAGTGGTTTGGGGATTAGGGGATCAGATCTTCTTCTATGTAAAAAAGCAGATAAATTAACTTCTTTTTAAGAGATTTGCGTATCTATTTAAAGAAAAAGCATATTCCAACTATCATGTAGATTACAGATCTACTTTAAATAGCTTAGCCATTTCCATAAGAATGGATTATCTTTACACAGAAGGAGGGTTAGGTAGTGTGTAGCCATTTTTACATGCTCCACACAGATCCTGAAAGAGATGTGCCATTTGTGAAGAAGGGAAGGAGAATCCCTATTTCTTCTGTAGTGGCACCTATAACACTCTTCCCTTGGTACAGATGTGCTGGAAGGGTTCCTCTTGTCTAATGGACAACTCTCAAAACCCTTTGACACCTGCTTTCCTGGTTAGATGCAGTGTGGATTTAGTAACACGAAGTATTGCAGAGCTGCTGAGAGGCAGAGGGGAAAACAGAAATTGTGCAAAGGGATATTCATTCAAAATATGGTATCTGTCGTGCTCACTCTATTGGCAAAGCACTTTTTGCATTGAGCTGCTGTGAGCTGAGGTGGTTTCATGCAACACAGGTGCACTCTCAGACCTAGTTAATGTTTTTTATAAAAGGCTGGCTAGCACTATCCTTTAGTCTATGTGCCCTTCCACCAAGTGCATCTTTATTACAGAGATGAGATATGTTTACACACCTTACAGCCCTCTCACTGTCTTCATATAGAGCAATCCATGGACTAGCAGTTTAGATCTCAAATAATTTTATAAAGTTGCTTGTGCAAGTATAAGGACTGAGGGTTAAATTATGTACATTTTACCTTTTTACACCAGTTTTTCACACCTTGGAGTAACTTTTTCTGAGGTGCAAACTGGAGTTGTCTTCTCCCAGAGCCATCCAGACATTTTCCACCAAACAAAACCTCAAATCTGTTGATGACAGGTGCCACCAAGAGATCTCAAGATCTCACCCTTCAGAAGGAGATGGATCCATAAGATTTCCCACTTAAAAAAGCTCTGCTTCAAACAAAAACATTTTTACATTATTCAGAGGTTTCAGAGCTGTCCAGAAATAAAATGTAGATGTCACTTTGGGCTCCAAGCTTTCCTACTCCTCCTTTTCAATAATTTCTAACTAATATCTCTAAAATGTGTTTTAAATTCCAGCTCTGTCTACTGGACAACTTCTTCCATCAACTGAAAGAAGTTCTTCCTGGAAAGTGGCAGTGATTGTCCTTGGAGTTTTATTTGGAGTTGCACTAGTGCTAATTTTTCTTCTAATATTGGTTTATATTTGGAAGAAGAAAAGATCAGGTAAATACCTGGTTGAACCTACAGGACTCCTGGGAAATTTTGTCTACAAGCACTTGTAATGTAAGCCATCGTTTTGACTTATATATTTTGGATACAGGGGAAAATTAATATATTTGTCTTAAAATACTTTCGTCTTTGTTAATCATTTATGTTAAACTAAGATAACCCAACCTTCTCCTTCCCAATGTCTTTTGCTGAGCTCATGAATTACTTTCTAATGAATTATCCTTTCAACATTACTCTTGGATAAGGAACTTCGTATTTTCCTCATAGGAAGTGGGGAAGACTAAGGTACTGAGAAACTCCTGTTCATACTACCCCTATAAGCATTGCAATGACTCCTAGCCATTGGATTGGACATAAAGAGACAAAATTAGAACTGTTCAATATTCTTTTGTGTTTAGATGACACAGCAAACTGACTGATCTTTGTACCAATAGCAGGACACTTGACCACAAATCTGAGCCCCAGGTGATTCATCTAACATGAGATTTTTATCACCATATGAAGATGCCTTTTTCTCTCCAGTGACTGTAAAATGGGCCCAGGACAGTTCATGTTTTAGCATATACAGCTTGATTTAGAGCCTGGAGGAAAGTGAGATAAATCTGGGCAGTATGGACTTGTCACAGATGTCTCTGGTGGAACAGGAAAATCATCTGAAGGCTTCTGAATTCAAGACTTGGTTCCTTAACTCTTGGGCTATGAAGAAACATATGCCTTCATGTGAGAAATGGATAGCATGAGAGATAGAAATGTCATTTAATAGGAAATCAGTAATTGAGTAGCTTGACTTCTTACTAGAAGATGGGAGAAGGGATAAAAAGCTTCATCTGGACTGAAGTAAATTGTCATTTTAATTTATGCCTGTCAAAGAAAACTGGGCAAGAGTGTGTCATATAATGCTGTTTTGCCTTGCCCATGATAATCCCAAAGCAGAGTCTGCTGAAAGCAGCCCAGTAGATCCTGTGGCTCTGCAAAATACCCTGTGTTCCAGGGAAATGGAAAGAAACAGCCTTCATTTGTTTTTACCACTCTCAGCTGCAGTCCCAATGAGGTTACTGTCTGCTTCTCCTGTGGTGTGTTTTTCTCCTTGGAAAGTGCTGAACAAATAATAAAAGGCAGTATATTTCTGTAGACATGTTCAGTAGGAGTTATTTATTTAATCTCAAAGCAGTTCTCCCTGTGTCTGTGTATTTTGCCTGTATGCCAATGCTCAGCACTGAAGTACTGAAGCACTGAATACCTTGTGATGTTCTGAGACCCTGGCTCCAGTCCTCTGAGCAGTTCACGCCCTTTGTGCTGATTGCATTATGGTTAGTTAGCAAGAGTTAGAGTAGTGAAGTGTCCAGAACTGTAGCATGTTACAAGACATCAGCACTGAAAAGAGCCTCTGTGTGCAGTCAGATTTTATGTATCCTTTCCTACAGCTCCTGGATGAATCTTGCCAAGGACCTGGGTAAGCAGAAAGGTGGAGCTGTCTAGGTGCTGGCCTCAACACATGTAGGCTGCTTTAGTTCAGGTTGTGATATTGTCCCAGTGGAAATCACAACCAGCAATGATCTCTGCCCTGGGCTTAGAGGCAGTGTTGGTGTGATGCCAATGGTCTGTGCTGGTTGCATGACCACCTCGATGTGATTAATATTTATTAAAAATTATTTCTTGCAAGTTTCAAATACAGCTGATTTTTGCTGTTATTTTTCCTTGAATGGGAAAATAACATTTAACGATGCATTCTATCTATAAGTTCTCTGGTGAGCTGTGCTGAAAATACCAATGAGCTCTTTTGCTTATTTTAGTACTTTTTCATTCTTTTTGAGGGGTCTACTGTGAACAGCAATCTTATTGTTAATAAAGCTTTCTGATATCTTTGCAAACAACGTTGAACTAAAGACCATGTACAGCAGGGTTGTACTATGGAATTCTAGGAATAGTCCTTGTAAAATGCCTTTATCTCTGAAGAAATATGGTATTTTAAATGTCCTTTTCCCCAAAAGTTTTACAAATAAAATTTGTATTTTTACAATTTTGTGTTCTGAAGGCATCTGTTGTTTCTTCTGTGTAAAGTGGACTCTCTCCAAGGTGCGCAAGGGGAAGATGGCCCCCTCCATAAACAACAAAGCTACCTTGGTCCAGTATGTGATTTAAGAGCAGCACAATTTGTTTGAACTAGATTAAACATGAAAAGCTAGATCTACTGCATCCAGCATTTTTTTCATATTCCAAAAATACCCTATACTACCATGTTGTGGCATCTAGACACTGAGAAGTCTCTGAAAATAAGAGTCAGAGCACTCCCTTTCCCAGGGTATTTCTTCCTCATTTTCAAGTGGCAGTCAGACTGGCTTGTGTACATTTTCTGCTCTGAAATGTGGGGCCAGAATGTGGGACAGAGATGGCTGAGGATAAGATATCCAAAGTTACCTAGATAGCTGGCTTTTGTTTATATCTCCAGGGTGAGACTCTTGTCTAACCTGCTGTAAGGTCTATCACACAGGAGGAGAGAAGAATGCTTTCAAACAAAGAAACTCTGCAGAAGGCTCTGGGCCATCTCATCTGTGGTACTAACAGCATTTCCAGTCAAAGGATGTTCTCTATAAAACAGTAAAAAATAGAGGTACGATATTGAAATTCCTAAATATGGAAGGTAATAAACTAAGCAATAAGTGAGACTTCTGTAAGACAGCACGACGCATGTGTTAGTCTGAAAGTAGAACACTGACCCAACACACACCAACCATATCTTAATGTTTCAAACCTTTTTTGTGTCTGTGTGTGGAAATACAGAAAGTGTAGATAATGCATATTTTACTCAGGTGAATCTCTGCAAGGTATATCCTTTGAAGTTTTTAGAGCGGTATTCAAATGAGAGTATCACAGAAGGTTCACCACAAATGTTGAGATTTTACATTATTTTCCAACAATTACAAGGTCTGGATGTTTCTTTTTCTGGCAGCATTTGCCTTCTGGCCTCTAAAAAGCCTCATGACTTGACATTACTCTCATGAGTGCCAGCAGAGTAAGAATCGAGAAACATTTCAGCCCGCTGTTTAAGATTTGCTATGTTGGCTTAGAAGACAAGGCCCACCTAACCCAGCATTCCAACTCCAACAGCTTGAAGATAAAAGACAAGCTACCTATTTTGTGAGCCTTATTCTATGTTGGGTGATATTAGCCTCCACTGTTCAAATTTTAGCTACCTTCTAAGTGCTAATCTGCCATTTCCATTTCGTATGTTGTGATTAAAGCCAAAGCTTTTAGGATTGTGTCTAATACTTATGATTGATGTTGTAATAAGAACTTGAAGAACTTGCTGACATTTCTTTTAAAATGTTAAAATGTGAAAATAACCTAGCAAAAAGAAATATTCCAATTGATAATCCAAATTCCCATTGCTTGTGTCCAGGCCTAGGACCCTCAGCAAAAGAAGGATGTGAAGCTGTTGGAGTGGGTTCAGAGAAAGGCCATCAAGATGATCAGAGGGCTGGAGCACTCCTTTGTAAAAATAGGCTCAGGGAGCTGGGTTTGTTTAGCTTGGAGAAGGATCCAGACAGGCCTTCAAGATCTTGAAAGGAGCTTATAAGTAGGAGGGTACGATAGTGATAGGACAAAGGGAAATGGCTGTAAACTAAATAGGGGAGATTTATGTTAAATGTCAGGGGGAAATTCTTTCCCCAGAGGGTGGTGAGGTGCTGGCACAGCTGCCCAGAGAAGCTGTGGTGCCCCATCCCTGGAGGCACTCAAAACCAGGTTGGATGGGGCCCTGGGCAGCCTGAGCTGGAGGGGGCAGCCCTGCTCATGGCAGGGGTTGGGGTGGGTGGGCTGTGAGGTCCCTTCCAGCCCAAACCATTCTGTGATTCTTACTCTGTAAGAATTTAGTAATCCCAGATCATCACATTCTGGAGACTCAAACTGATAATGTATCTGTTCAGCAACTACTGACTGGATCAAACGGGTGCTTCTGCCTTCTGGAAACATGATTTCTACTAAATAAACTAAATACTAAATAAACAGTGCTGCTGCTAAACAGAGGTTGTGCTTAAACATTTTTACTGTCTAAACATGTCTGTTTGTTGATTATTTCCAAGTGTTAATTGGTTCTTGAAGGACTCAGCTTTCAAACATTTAAGAAATAATAGGCTGTGCTCAGCTTGTGGTTAGAAAGCTTGCAGTGAGAGGCTGGAATGTGGCCAGCTCACATCCAGTCAGCTGTCTCATGCCCCCAGCTAAAAGTTTGCCTTGAGCTGCTAAAGCTGTTCTTTGCCCTCTCCCATCTCTTTTCAGTCATTCTTGCTGTCTGTGGAGACATGAAATTATGCTAGAACATAAAGCAATAATAGATGCTTGAGCCCAGAGAAATGAAAGCTTTCACTGCTTGCTTGAAAATGTCCTTTTCTAAGCTCCTCACAATCCTGCTCTAGCATCAACGTGAGTGCAGGTTAGATGGGACTTTAGAAGAGTCAGAATACCTTTAGGAAGACTTTGTTCTTTCATGGGATCAGCATGTTGCCTTTGTGACCACTGAGGTCACTTAAGCCAAGTCCAGTCTAGTTTACTGTGGTTCACTTCTAGTTGTTCCAGTGAATCAGCGCAGGCATGTGATCCTGTGGCAGATGTGCACAGTCAAGCAAAAAATTTCAAAAACAAACAAACAAAAAAGAATCTCTGGGGTTAATTTAAAAAAGAGAGGAGGAACCAACTTCAAAGCTACTTCAGTGGCAATTCTTCCCTTTCTTCTAGCTTCATAAAGAAGGTTTTTGTTGGTCCATCGGTTGCTTTTTGTTTGTTTGTCTGTTTGAGATTGGATGCACTTAAGACTATCTCTGAGCTTCTAAAAATCTTATTAATGCATTGATTAGACATGAACAGAAAACTATTCGTGAAATTACCAAATCGAGGTGCTGCACTGTGCAGCAGTACCCAGCAGATGGTGCTCCCTGTACCCATACCAGCTGCTCCAGGAACCGTTTGCACTCAAAACTTCAAAAATTCCTAGATTATTGGTTCAGTCTAAGCAGCAGGGCAACCTGAAAGCTGACTCTCCTTTTAGTGGCCTTGGTAATGCACTTTAGTCCTGTCTCAAAGCCACCCAAAGTGTTTTCTTTTCCAGCGCGTGTTACTCATAGCAGGATTACAGTCACAGAAGCCAGGGAAGAAAGTGTCTGTGGGAATCTCAGTGTGATCCTGCCTGTCTCTTCGAGTGCCTAAATACCAATATAAAGCACGGCCCTGAAACCATGAAACCCATGAAAACATTGAAATAAAAAGGTTTTGATTTGTTTTCCCCATTCACCCCTCTTTCTTTTGTATGTTCTGGATTGATTCAGAGTGGCACGTTGGCAGCAGATTAAGGAATTGCTTGCAGCTTGAGTCAGGGGACTGATGCATTTGTTGGACTTAGACACTACTGCTGTGGTGTTGTCACTGCGGTATGGTATTGACACAAGCTCCTAAACTTTAATTTGTCTCACTGCACCACCACGCATCCTTTTCTGCTGATTAAAAGGGTAATTGTACATCAAGTATGTTCAAAATGTGAATTTGTTTTCTATTCTTACATTCAGAAGCAGCATACAGTAGCATGGATTCTTAGTTTTTATTGATACTTCTTATGGAGATTTTTACTGAGTTGGCATCTAAAGTAAATCACTATAAAAAAGATATAATTTTATGAGCATGGCCAAATTATCTGAGTAAAAAACACCCTATAAATCAAAAATGTAATTAAATATTAGCTCTCAGCTAATTAAAAAGTCTGATATTCCAAGTGTCATTTTCCTTAGTTATTACTAAGGTCATTTCACTTGTCTAATCATTTCTCTAGTCTGGGGAAATGGATGGCTGCAGAGTGTCAGCTATCAGAGGATTCACTTGGCACTGAGCATTGCACACAAGAACCTGAATTATAGAATCACGGAATATCTCGATTTAGAAGGGAACCACAAGGACATCTAGTCCAACTGCTGGGTCCACATAGGACCATTCAAAAATCAGACGTTATGCCTGAGAGCATTAGCATTATTCAAACACTTATTTAATACTGACAGGCTTGGTGCTATGACTACTGCCCTGGGGAGGCTGTTGCTTTAGTTTTCAAATCCTAATTAGTGTACAAGGAAAATATCCTTTTCCTTCTCTTCTGCTGCATGGTGCCTAAATCTGCGGGGTACAGCTCCTGCCACCTGGTGAGGCTGTCCCAAAGGACAGAGCCCTCCCTGTGAGACCACAGCTCTGTCTGTCTGTTCCTGAAGATGCAGCTGTATTTGCTGCTCAGTATGACAGGTATGAGGGCATTTGTAGTTAGGAGAGGAAAATGAGATCCCTGAAACAGGATTCATCTGCCTTTGTTTTACATGTCTATTTTAGATGAGGTGAAGCCAACAAGAAATACTTTCATTTGTTGGGAGGAAGTGTTGATCTGCCTGCAGATAGGAAGGCTCTGCAGAGGGATCTAGATAGGCTGGGGCCAATTGTATGAGCTTCAGCATGTCCAAATGCCAGTGCCAAATGCCACTTTGGTCACAACAATCCATTGTGATGCTACAGGCTTGGGGCAGAATAGCTGGAAAGCTGCACAGAGGAAAAGGACTTTGGGGTGTTCGTCAATGCTTAGCTGGACACGAGCCACCAGTGTGCCCACGTGGCCAAGAAGGGCAACAGTGTCCTGGCTTGTATCAGAAATAGTGCAGCTAGCAGGAGCAGGGAAGCGACCATCTCCCTGTACTCAGCTCTGGTGAGAACATACCTTGAGTGCTGTGTTCACTTTTGGGCTCCTCGCTACAGGAAACACATTTAAGCCCTGGAGTGTGTTCAGAGAAGGACAACAAAGCTGTGAATGTTCTGGAGCACAAGTTTGATGGGGAGCGGTGGAGGGAACTGGGTTTGCTCAGTCTGGAGAAAAGGAGGCTCGGGAGACCTTACTGCTCTCTACAACCACCTGAAAGAAAACTGTTGCAAGGTGGGGGCTGGCCTCTTTTCTCTAGTAACAGCAATAGGATGAAAGGGAACGGACTCAGGTTACACCAGGGGAGATTCAAGTTCAGTATTAGGAAAAACATCTCAGAAAGAGTGGTGAGGCAGTGGCATAAACTGCCCGGGGAGGTGGTGGAGTCACCATCCCTGGAAGTATTCAAGATCTGTGAAGATGTGG